CTCTCTCTCTCTCTCTCTCTCTCTCTCTCTCTCTCTCTCTCTGTGTGTGTGTGACAGTACATACTGAGGAAGCCCAAGAACGATGCTCCATGCCGTTTTCACAAGCGGTTATCGGGTAGCTGAAAATTAAGGAATGAAAATTTTGAAGTGAGCGTTTTGGGCAGTCTGAAAATCCTGAATGGTCTTGAAGTGGTGAAACGTCCGAAGACCCTGAAAACCACCTGTTTAGGCAGGCTGCATCCTGAAGTGGTGAAGGGTGTCCTGAACTGGTCAAGTGAGAGTTTGGGGCAGCCTGAAAATCCTGAATGGTCCTGAAGTGGTGAAAGGTCCGAAAACCATGAAAACCACCCTTCACCACTTGAGGATGCAGCCTGCCTAAACAGGTAGTTTTCAGGGTCTTCAGAGCTTTCACCACTTCAGGATCGTTCAGGATTCTCATACCTGAATGGTCCTGAAGTGGTGAAAGGTCCTAAGACCTTGAAAACCACCTGTTAGGCAGGCTGCATCCTGAAGTGGTGAAGGGTGTCCTGAAGTGGTGATGAAAAATACGACTGTTGTTAACCTTCTCTCGAAGGTGTAATCCATGAAGATGGGCTGGAACGACAATGTCTCTATAATTGCGGTCGATGTGCCTCTGTGTTCCTAGCATGTACGGGCCACGTAGCCTGTGACATTTGTCTGCGCTGTGCCATTCGATGCAGCAACTGTGACTGCGAAAATCGGGATGCGGTGCTTCCATAGCCCACTCCGAACCGGTCCTGTCCGGTCTGTAGGGGTGGCCACTCGCCATAGTTAGTTTTTTTTTTTTTTTTTTTTTTTTTTTTTTTTTTTTTTTTTGCTAGAGTAGTCTGCTTCAGCGGTGAATATTTAGAAATGTGAAACCCGTCATACACCTTTCCCCTGCTCTTTGCTTGTCATACTCTATCCTGCCCTCCACATATTTCTTTCCTTCCCGTTGCCCCTACCTCCCCTGCCCCATACTCCTACAGAACTCCGCCTTCTATCCCTTACCCTCCACCCTCCCCTCCACTCCCTTTGTACTACTAACAAATACATACGAATGAGCATCATTAAGAGAACAGACGATATGAAGATCAGAAATGAAATGAACGGAAGTATGAAGATCAAGGATGGACACAAAGACTGTATAAGCTGAAGATCTGAAGTGAAATGAACAGGAGTATGAAGCTCTGAAGAGATGCACAGGAGCATACCTTCCCTTTTACTCTGCCTCCTGAAATAACGTGCAAGTGGGCCGTGAAGGCACACGGGGATGTGGGCAGCTGCCGCTCAACCACAATCAACGTGGGCAGCCTTGTGCGTAAGAGGCACAGTAAAAGGGGAGCTGCAAGAACAATGAAAGGGGTACCCCAAGGACAGCCAAAAAACTGTCTAATTATAAAATTGCTTTAGTATGTTGGACATCTCAAATGCTCTCGTTGTCTGCAATAGGACGAAGACTGCTTTGATTCTGAATCTATTCACCTGGGTGGAATTGGGGCTGTTGTGGGGAAAATCTAAAACACACA